CATTTGGGCAAAGGAAAAATTAAATGCACAGTTACTGGATGGGTGACATCTGGTTTGTAAACAGTAAATGTCAAAAGGACCTAGGGGTCTTCTAAGACAACAAACAAAATATGAGTCAGCAGTGTGATGTCGCAACCAGAAACCCAATGCAATTCTTGGTTGCATCAACAGGAGTATCGTTTTCAAAGTGAGGAAAGCAAAAAAATACTACTCTATCTTGGTCAGGCCTACCTGGAATATTGTGTCCAGTTCTGCACACCAAAGTTCAAGAGTAATTAATTATAGCAAAGAAGACAACTAAGATGATAAAAATTTAGAAAACTAGCTTAGGGAGCTGGTTATGTTTAGCTTGCATAAGAAAAGACTTGGAGGTCATAGGAGATCCATCTTTAAATGCCTGAACATATATAATGTATAAGATGGAGTGATCTTATTTTCTTCTGCTGCACACACCAGAACATGAACCATTGGATTTAAATGTTGAGAAAAGAGATTCTACCTAAACATTAGGAAGAACTTCTTGATGATAAGACTATTCAGCACTGGAGTAGACAGACTCAGAAGGAGGTGGACTCTCCTCTGGAGGACTTTAAACAGAGGGATGGTTGTGTCTTGGGAGTGATTTTGTTGACTACTGTGTATTTTTCTATGAGCCCAAACTTATGACTGTGACTTAATTTTTCAAAATTATTCTGGGCAAATTGCAAAAAGGACATAGCAAGCAAACAACAGCATTAGGTATGATTCTTTGAAAAGGATATCAGAGAAGGGACTCTTAGGTAGCAATACAAAAATCACAATGGTAAACAGCGAAATTGCACTTTCCCCACCATCTGTCCCACAAGTCTTACCCCAAACGTGTCTTCCTCTGGCTTATGCGTCACTGTGATAAGAGGGCTGGGACTTGGACTATATTCAACTGAAACCAAAGAAACAAAGGCAAAACATTTATTCAATATTTTATGGAGAAAAATGCAAACACACCTAAAAATGCCATATTTGAAATAATTATTTCAAAAATATAAATGATTTATGTGGAAAAATCCTTCATCGTGTACCACTGCCTTATCCTCCCTTTATCCTTCTGAGTTCTTAGCCTCCTACACCCCTGCTTATTTCTGTCACTCTTCCAATTGTGCAGCCCTGTCACTGGTAGTTTCCTGCACCTTTCAGCAGCCTATATTATTTTGTGTTTGCTACCACCTAGAACATCTTTCTACAATAACTTTCTGGAATACCCCTTCCATCCCCTTTCCTTCAGAACCTTCCTTAAAATCCACCTCTTTTGTTTTCTCCATTGTAATATAGGCCCAATGTCACTACTAGCCATACTCTAATAAACAGACAATGAAGAAGAGGATTTCCTACCCTATGAATCCAGGTGGGGAAAACATATTGAAATACAACAGCATATGGGCATATAACATCAGTTCCAAACACATAACATCAATTAAAATACATAACCAGTTAAAAGAGCATACATAATAAAAACAATCGATTCATAATTTTTAAAAACTCATCATTGAAAAACCATATGGCTAGCCTGACAGAAGAGATTGGTCTGTTTAAAAGTGAGATATCTTATACAGCTTTTGGATCTCTTCTGGCAGGTCATACCACAATTTGAGGGTGGTTGAAGAAAAAGTCCTCTGGGTAAAATTGGCAGCATAGTCCTGCATGACTGGAGTAAATGTCACCCAGAGGGGCTGAGTATATGGGTTGTACAAACAGATTGTATAAACATCCACACTCTTTTCAGAGTGCCAGGCTTCTGTACATTATTTTATTCCTCTCAAGATTTGAAGGAGCACTGGACACCAGTACTTTAAATTTATGATTGACTACTAGGGGAATCTCCTTTAACAAACAATTTGCATTGCTATTTCTTTTGCTCCAGAATGCACATTTATGAACCAGTTTGCACCAACTCTGCAATTAAGTTGACATCTTGGACATGCTGCACAAGTTCAGGACTGATAAACTAACCTTGTCTGGGCTGGTATGTGTCTGTGATTTCTGTTTTTAGTTCATTTTAAGGATTTTAGGTGCAACCACACAAACTTTCCTCTAATTCAGTTTATATGCAAAATCACCAGCATTAACTTGAGCAATATCAGGTAAATTTGCTGAACTTCTATCTATCTCCTTAAGTTTTCTGATGCTACTGTCCATCTCTTCAGTATGTATGGTGCCATGTTAGCTACATGGGGATCCACATGGAGAGAATTATATATCTAGTCTCACAAGATAACTACTATTTATGGTGAGAGTGGAAAATTTTACTTAAGCTCATTTTTTAAATAAATAAATACATCGGACATTATCAGCACTGGCACATTTGAGTGTGGGAGAAAGTGAAAATGAATGATTTGTCATTCCTGGTTGGTGGTTTGAACTGACAATGTCCATTCCCAGGGCTTCCATTCCCTCTCTATTAAATTTTAGCTCTACCAGCCCAATATTTCTGGCTATAGTTCAGAATAGGATGAGACTTACATGTCACAATTCCATCTGAAATGCCTAAAAGACAAACAAATCAAACCAAATGGACAAAAAAGAAGGGGGAAAAAAAGAAGCATGGTTATTAGCACTATCAAAAGACATCTGCATTCACATGATCAAACTCACAGTTCACTGAGCAAACCCTCTCTTTCATATTTAAAGGTTCTTCTTAACTTAAAACATGACTTCGCCTACGACCACCCCCACCAAATCTGACCTAGGTTCAAATCTCTGCTCAAACGATAATCTTACAGGGTGAACCTGGGTGAGTCAATCACTTTTTCCTTATCTCTGCTCCCCCCTACACCCAATTCCTTTTACGTGTATACTTTGCCAAGTGGGGTATATTTCTGTATACATAGTTCTATTTTTTTCTTTTAAATCTTCATTGTACATTGTTAATCCATACTGTTTGTGCTTTCCACTTGGAACTATATCATTGGTGGTTGTAATTTGTCAAGAACTCCAATATATCCTTACATCTCTACTAAGGTATGCATCTAACTTTGCCTCTTATCAGAGCCTGCCACATACTAGCTTCAGGAACATCCCTATTGTTTTGTTCAGGGTGCCTTGCATAGCTAAAGTAGCCTATTTTGACCTGTTCCACTCAGATTAAGAAAAGAACAGTCAAGCTATATATTTCTTCAGAATCACATACATGGTAGACATTTCAAAGTATATGAGTGTCTCTGTGTTTGCTGTTAGTATATGATAGTAAGTCAACCCTTTTCAGCTCTCTTGGATTCTTACTATGACAAGTGTGCCTTGTGAAATAAATAAAAGGATATCCAATGAAATATGTTTGCTTCTTTAAAAAGTGAAATGAAATGAAATGAAATTGATTACAGTCAATGACCAGCATAAAACAATATAAAACAAATCTACTTTTTAAAAGTAGATTAGCCTGTATCTCCTTCTCAAACAAGATGACAATGGAAAGAAAGGGAAACCTGCAAACAGTACTGCAGGTCAGGTCTCCCTCATCCAAAATACTTGGAACCAGAGGTGTTTTGAATTTTAGATTTTTTTGGGGGGAGGGGGGTATTTTGGAATACCTGTATTTGAATATATTTACAAAATCTTGGAGAAGAAACCCAAGTTTAAACAAAAAATTCATTTATGTTTCTTATGTATACACATAGCCTGAAGGAATTTTATACCATGTTATGTATAACAATAAAAATATTTAAAAAATAATAATTTTGTTTGTGGAACAAAGTTTGTGTACAGAAGGCAAAGGTGTCACTATCCCAGCCACCCATGAAAAAAGCCTTGGTTTCTTGGAATATTTCAAATTTTTCAAATTCCAGAAAAGGTAGACTTAACCTGTATAATGAAGCCAGAGCTCACTGGATCAAAGAATCAGAACATCCTGAGGAGCACGGACACCGACATTGTCTGGCTCTCCCTGAGGTTTCTTATTCCTTCTGAGCTCACTTACAATTCTTTACAGTAGTTGGAACAGTGAAATGGATTTTCCCAGTAACAGTATATGTTTTAAACTGTCCATGTTGCAAAGCAAGGATTTGAAGCAGGGGTCATCTTGAAAAGGGAATAAAGACTCTTTGCTTTTTACAAAAGATCTGCTCCTTATTGAGATGGTTACTGCTAGAACTGAATTGTTAACATGGATTTACATCTACCTGTATTTTTGGACCATCTTTGGGGGACATGACTTCTGCAGATTGTCACTACTGTTTGTATGTCCTAACTGACTACCATACCAGTGTATTTGAGAAGATGGGGAAGGTTACTGGTGGAATGGAGAGCTTCCTAGGAGCACATTAAATTCCATGGCATCTTTGCCCTGAATTTGACATGTCCTGAATCATGCCAAGGAACGTGAGCTAAATCAGAACACAGAGGACAATACCCAACTCCTGCTTTCAAAGGAAATATCCAAAGCATGTGTTGAGGCACTGTTTCCAATCAAGGAGTACTCACAACACTCTCCCTGTTCTCAGTTACCTTTTTTCAAGGGAAATGTTGTGGAGAAATGCAAAAAGGAGAAGGACCAGTAAGGTGAACATGGACAAACATGTTTACAGGAGAGATCCAAATTCAAAGGGGTTCTCTGTCTTTTAAAACTTGGAGCATTTGTGTCTGAGACTCTGTCAGTCTGAAGTTAGTTTTTATAATTTTCAACATACTTGAGCCACATCTTGGAAATAAATCCCCAAACATTCCAATAGCACAAAACAATATATTAGCACGTCTACATAATTACAACCACCTGCACTCCATAGACACATAGCACCCCCATATGCACCACACCCATATTTATTAGTCACTTGTTATCTACAAGTGAATGAAAAGACAGTTTCCCTACATGGTCAGCTGGAAGGGTAATCTATTCACCACAGGTAATCTGAGCCCTGTTTCTGTGCATTGGAACATAGAGACCTGTCAGATTACTAGTCTATCTAAGACAGTCTTTTTATTCATTTACTGACAGCAGTTCTCCAGAGTTTCTAAAAGTATTTCTTCATCTTAGCTGCAAATGCCAAGGATTGAACCTAGGACCTTTTGCACACAAAGCATGTACTTTGCCATTGAGCTATAATGCTTCCCTATGTGCCAGGGGAGTCAAAAAAAGCTTTTCTGTGCCCACATGACCTACCCAGACATTTTGCTCTTTTCTAAGTCCTTGACTCATGAGGCTCGACATCTTCAAATAAATATTTCCTTTACTGCAACACCCAGCCAAACTCCTCCGTACACTCTTCTAATGCCTCTCAGTGATACTCAAGCTTATACACAACACGGGAAAGAAAGCCAGATATCCATGCACCCACAAGCAGAGAACATTAAAACCTGATACAAAGAGAACGTGACATGGCTTTAAAGACCAAAGGTCTCCAGAATGATTAAGCAGAACCCTCTGTGTAGAGTGGCATCTGAAACGCACAGCAAAGGATAAGACAGTGCAGCCCCCAGGGAGGGCTGGAGCTTGGAATGAACAAAAAAAATCAGTTGACAAAGAGGGATTTGGTTATGCAGAGACACCATTTGCCAAATCAGCACTTTTTAATTCTGATGTAGGTCACAACAATGCTTGTCTTGAGGGAGTGATATTTTTTCTTCTTTTTTGGACATAATTTAAACTTGCCTTTGGAACCCAGATCAGCAACTTTTTCTTCTTCTTTTTAAAGGACAGTTTTGAAGAAGCAACACTTTGAGAAGACTGGTAGGCTAGTGCCTAATCTATTTGTTGTATTTCTTCATATGGTATTACAACCTATTCTCAGTGATTCAATAATCTAATCAAATCAGCTCACTGTAAACTACTTTTTTTTAAAAAAAATCATGGAGTAAATAATATATTAAAATCAGATTTAGAAAGCAACTCTCTCAAATGTGCATTCATACAAATAAAATGTAGGTCAGAATGAAGTAGCTCTACAAGAATTTCATTTCTAAATAGGCCCTTGGGGCCTATTGTTCACAGAAAAAATAATCCAGCCAAAATGTTGAAGTCCAGGGAAGTCTAGAGGATCAGCAACTGCATATGACCCACCACATGCCTCATGAAGCCTGTGCACCCCCCCCCCCCCCCCCCCCACACACACACACAAAGACTTTATCTCACAGGGGAAATCCTGTGCAGAAACAGGGTTTTAAACAGGGGAAAAAAACTGCAAAATCAGGTAGATTTTATTTCAAAGTGTGCTTAACCAAGTCGGAAAGTAGTCAAATGCCACTTCTTTTTACTTTTGTAAAATCCTGAAAGTATAAAGAAGCAGTTTTTGATTACTTTCCATTCAGGTTAAGCACACTTTAAAACTGATGTGTGTGAAAATCTACCCACTTTTGAGGGTTTTCCCCACCTTTTAAATCCCATTTCCACATGGGATTTCCCTTTGTGATAAGGTCCACAGAGAGAACTCTGGATGTCAGTGTACTATGGAAAAGGCCTCTGATAATAATCCTAGTGACCAATCTTCAAAACTGTTTGGAGAGATAGGGGGAAAGCAGACGGTGCTTTGCGCCGTCTTGGAGGCAAGGAAGGGGAGGGGCAGCCTCACACTGGGTGCCCCAACCCCTTCCCAAACACGTCATCGGAGTGCCCATCACTCCACATGACGGGCGCTCCGATGACATACCTCTGCCACAGCTCCAATGACATGCTTCCTCGTCCACACACACTGCAGTGGAAGAGATGCCGAAGGTGCGCCCAGCATCTCTTGTGGCACACTTTCGGCATCTTGTGGAAGGAGCACTATTTTAGCGCTCCTTCTAGGGCCCAAAAAGGGATACATTGGGGCCGAGGAGTGTGGCTACCTCGGCCCCAATCCACAGCTTCCTGGGGCGGCCCATGGCCACCTGTCTGCTTAGGCCCTAAGTTCAGAAAGACCCTTGTGTAGTATATGCTTTGCATGCAAGAGATTCCAGGTTTAAGCCATAGTATTTCTTCTTTTAAAAAGTAGGTAGGTCATGGGAGAGATCTTCTACTATAGACCTTAGAAAGCTTCTGCTGTCAGAAGAGTTACATCAGGGTGTGAAATGTTCCCGGGCCTGGAGAACCTGCCATAGGCTACTTGTCCACCCCTGGATCCTTATTATTATTTCTTTTTAAACTTCAAGTCCCTAGACATTTACTGTCCCTTTTTAAAGAAAACTTTGGAAGTGCAAATTTTCACTAAAGCAAGGAAAATTTAGTGCATCACAATGTGGTCTATAAATATCTAAATTGTACTTCAGTTCCAACTGGCATGGCATATCCAGATCACAAAATGGATTAACAGCAATGCCTTTTGCCAACAGAATTCTGGGAATCATTATATCAGGAAGCCAGGGCATCAGTAATTTAGTAATTGGGATAACTTAACACTCTTCCCAAATACAATTTCCAGAATTCTCTGGTGATAGCTATGAGATCAAAAGTCAACATGGTGTAGTGGTTTAGGGTTGGACTATGACTCTGGAAACCAGGGTGCAAATTCCCACTGAGCCATAGAAAGCCATTGAATAAGTCACAGCCTCTCTCAGCCTCAGTGAAAGGCAAAAGCAAACCTCTTCTGAACAAATTTTGCCAAGAAATCCCCATGATACGCTTGTCTTAGGCTCCCCATAAGTTGACTTAAAGGCACACAACAACAACAACAACAAAAACCACCCAGAAGTGCAGTTCAGTCTTGGAATATAGATTTCTGTTACTTATTTTGAGATAACAGATTAGGTTCTATGGTTGTTCAGTGCATGCATATTAACGTGCTTATGTTAAATAAACAGAAACATATGTAGAAAATCATCAATGGCAATGTTCAACAAATGATATTAAATACATCTTAATTACCTGTACAGAGAGGATTTGAAGCCACAGTTAAGCATTAGCTTATACTTAAAGCACAATTGAATGACATCTTAAAGCTCTGATCTCCACCAAAAAAAAAAAAAAAAAAAATAGCTTACCTGTGAGCTAAATACTATCTAATCCTCTAGAAAATGTATGGCATTACATGCTAGTTAAATTAAGCACTTCTTTTCATCTTGCAGAGTGGAATATGTAGAGTTTGATGCAAAGAATCCTAATCGTATTGTGCTCAAAATAGCCCAACACTTAATATGAAGCATTAACTTTGTTTTGAAGTAGAAGAATACATATGGGAGGTATATGCAAATGGACTGAAGAGAATGAGTCTGCTACATTTCCAAAAAGCAATGTCTTTTTCCCCCCTGAGTTTCAGATTACCTAAAATATTGGGAGTTGCCTTTTATAACCCATTGACCCATCCTACTCCACTGTTGTCTACTTTGACTGACAACAGTTCATCTGTGTCTTAGGCAGAGAAATATATTCATAATTTGCTCTCTGATGTTTCTAACTGGGCATTGTGGAGACTGAGTCTGACACCTTCTCTGTACAAAGCAATATCCTATCATATTTTGTGAGTTGAATCTCCTTGTGAATACTGATGGGATTGGGCTGCAAGATCAAAACTCTATGCCTATGCATTGTCTTAATCTGAGGCTGGATCTGGTTCAAGGGCAGCCAAGAGCAGCCTAAGCCACTAGTAAAGGAATGTATGGATGAATAATAGATGGAGAAGGTATCCTACAACAATGAGATCTTGTCATTCTGCCTACCATGGAAGACTCTGATTCATAGCGAACATGCTTTAGAGACCACTAAAGATATTTCTTGAATACTCCTTGCAGTGGGGGGAGGCAAGCCATGGCTCCAAAGTTGGAGCTTTTAAAGTAAAGTTGCCAATATTAATCAGCTGTCCAGAGTTTGCCATGGTTCTAGGTTTCTGGACAGTTTCTGGACAAATCTGGACAGTACTGGAAACCCAGTTTCTGGACAGTTAAATGGCTCAGGCAACAACATTTTTCTGTTTTTCTTAAAATAACCTCCTAGCCTTTCTGGAAACCCAAGATATAAGGAATAAATAGAGTCCTGTTGTTGTATATGTGATGAGCTTATTCTGACTTCCAGTATGTAGCCAATGAGTAAAGTCTCATAGTTTCATAGAGATTTAAAACCGTAGAGTGAAACTCTTCAGCATAAATGTTAATATTTTGTAGAAAAGCCTAGTCTGTAGAAAACTGAGGTCTATGGGGTTGTTTAAAATACAGATCCAGGGAGGGGGCAAAGGGAGAGGCAGAGTGACAAAAATGGTGGAATATTTGGAAACCATGCCCTGTGAGGAGTGATTTGGAGAACTGGGTATGTTTAGCCTGCTTCAAGACACCTGTTACCTTCCAGATGGTTTGTACTAAGTCCCTGAACATAGTCCACACTAACTGAGGCTTCTGGAAGCTGAAATCTTAAACACTAGGAGGCCCAAAAGTTCTCCATTCCTTGCTTAATTCCTAGTAATAAATCTATACATGTGTAAATTTTAGAAAAACATGTGCCTTCTTTTGTCTTCTGGTATATGACCATAATGATTAATTGATTGATTGATTAGTCTTCTATGCCATTGCATTTCCTCTTTTTTAAGCAATGCATAATGAATTGTACTCAGCCTGCATGTGGGAAACTAGCATGTTAGGAGAAAGAGTTCCAGCTTAACATTTCCCTGCTGAACTGATTTTACACAAATGAAATTGTTTTCTACCAACTTAGCTATGCTATTCCCATCTACAGCAGTAATGGTTTTCAAACCTCATTTGCTATTTATTTAATCTAGGCCTCAGACAGACAACTTATCAGCCTTAAAGCCTAAAATACATTTTTCTCTATGCCATCTAAATTGGCTAGGGCCTCTGCAGAGAGCTAGTTCTCTGAGGGAAGGATTTAGGTTTTAATGGGCTATAGCTCATCTACAGAGAAGGCTCCATGTATAGTGAGGTATAAATAATAAACTAGAATACCATTGTTAGCACACACTCACTGTATAGTAAAATGTCCCATTTTGCTGTGGGAGATGGCAAAGAGTGTTCTGCTTTCTCATGACAGCATTCCAGATGGCAACAAGCATGCCTAAATCAAAATTTAATTTAATACAGGGGCCTGTTTAAGCCCAAATTGGAAGCACTACACAATCCATGTTACTACACTGCACAAACATAACTTTGACGTTTTTGCTTATGGAGAAATACAATAAAAAGAGAGGAAGA